AACAGGCACGTTTCTTGATTATAAAAAAAAACAATATTGAAGTGGAATAAGAATCGCGAAATATTTCAATACTTCTTATTGTATACAATATTGATATGATCTTCGGTGTGGACACTACCATTAATATGAGGTGGCGTTCTTAGGCTTAGATTTATATACTCTGAAATATTAGATGTAATGACTTTACCGTGCTTCTCCTTGATTGTTTTTTTTTTACGAGTGTCAACGTATGTGTTCACGATAAAATCTTTTGTGGCAGGAGCTACTTGACTCAAATTCGAATCTCTGTCGCCACGCTTCAAAATATGAACGACGAATTGAACAATGTAAAGCATAGGTAAAATGTTTTATCAAAGTTCAAACTTGATATATTTCAGGATTTTATATGTTGTTGTAACAATAGATAGAATAAATAGAGAGAAATAAGCGATAAAATATTATTCCTCGAGCAGATTCAAAAAACAATGATATTGTATATAATGCTAACACTACTCTTTAAAGCATTCCCTTGCATTATAAGTTAACTTTCATGAGAAAGAAGAATCCATAATCTTGAAACAATTCCTTACTCCATTACTGTTCACGGTTAAGAAAAACGTGCCTTTATTCACAGAAATAACTTCCGAAAATTTCAATCAGAACAACACCGGAAGAGATAACCATAGTATCACTTTTTAGTGTATTAAAGTATTGGTAATAAGCAACAACATGGAAATTCCATTTATTGTGCAAAGATAATATTGTAAAATAAAAAATAATCGAAAATATACCATTTTGAGTTTCACAGACCAACAACGTTTAACGTTAAACTCCAAAAAGAATATTTAACTATTGGAATGAAACGTCTAAAAACGGATGCGAATTTTTTTTTTCTTTTTTTGCAATTAGTAATTTCACACTCTCCAAAATGTATTTCTCTAAATCCAGTTATTTCCCTAGGAAACTAACTAAAACAAACTCTTCGGAACCGTATGTGAAATAGAATAAGATGAAGAATATGTATCATGACTGAATTTCAGACCAAACACCCCGTTTACATTACTTTTACGAACTTCCAAATACCTACTGTAATAAGTTATTCCAAAAAGATGATAAAATTTTCTGACAATTCATCCAACTGTGTTATGTGATCGAGTTAGATCGTAGCCACCATTGCGCTTAGAAAAAAAAAAGAAGAAAAAAAAAAAGAGGCTTTCGTGAGAAATAATAAATTCCAGCGCTTGACGATAAAGTCCAGGGTATAATAGGTCGCACGAACATTGAAAAAGTAATTTCTATGGGATAGAGTTCTGTCGAAAAAAAAACAACAACTAAACACTATCTAAATAGACTTCATCGGGTGCCCAATTTCCAGTTAACGACTTGTAGCGGGACATAGATGTGACATGGTTGAGCCATAAACGAGTAGTTAATTGCATTACTATTTTAAAATTATTTTTGTGTGAATTAGTTTCAGTTTATGTGGTCTATACTCTACTAAGACGTGTTTCCGGAAGTGATCAAAACAGTGACATGCGTGAAACGTGTCGGGATCTACACATCCGGTTGGAGCATTCGTGGTTAAGTGTGATAGTGAAAGTCACGATTTTAGAACTATGTCGATTGTAGACAGGCGTTAAAGGATGTCATCATTTAGTCGCGTAGTTTGTTGTTCTGTCATCATTTGGTCGTGTAGTTTTTTGTTCCATGCCATCATTTGGTTATGTAGTTTATTGTTATGTCATCATTTGGTCATGTAGTTTCTTGTTCTATGTCATCATTTGGTCAAATGATGACATAGAACAACAAACTACATAACCAAATGATGGCATGGAAAAAGAAACTACACGACCAAATGATGACATAACAACAAATTACATGACTAAATGATGGCATATAACAATAAACTACAATGTAGTTTGTTGTTCTATGTCATAATTTGGTCGTGTAGTTTGTTGTTCTATGTCATAATTTGGTCGTGTAGTTTGTTGTTCTATGTCATAATTTGGTCGTGTAGTTTGTTGTTCTATGCGTTCAGTAAGAAATAAACTTCACGCTTTCCGGTAAATATCGTAAAACGTTGATTGTGGAAACAGTTAGTAAACAGTGATAACGAACTAATGCTTCAATTATTTATAGTGCCACTTCATAGCACGTAAAGCAACATACAGAAAATTGTACCGAGCTCTTGAACTACACAATCATTATCCTCCTTTATTCACTGTCCTACCTTAAATTATGTCCCATTAGAAAAGTGAGAAATTAGTAATGGAGAGGTATTGTTCCTAGTGCCAGTTTTACATAAATACAATCCTAGACATGCCCTAACTAACACAGGTTTAACGAAGAACAATACTACACAGTCCACCACACAGTAAATGTAAACCCAATTGAGGAGAAAGTAAGTAGAAGATTCCCGATACCTAAGTAGCATGTGAGAGGACTTTTCCAAGCTTAGATTTGTGGAGAATAGACATTGAAACACCGTTACGGAAAAAAACATGTTGATGTACAAGTAGAAAGACATTCCTAATTGATGACGAAGTTACTGACATAATTGCACGGCGAAAAAATAAATCTTATACAAAAGCCTCATTGTATAAATTGGGTCTAAAATTTTTCAAAATTAAAGTTTAACCCATTTTGGTGAATAGTCTTAACATTGTTAATGATTTCTTAAATGGAAGCTTAGGGCAATAATGAATTGAAATTGTTGCTGGTTTTATTTTGCAGCATTACATAAATGTGATAAACATTAGATTTTAAATGAAACATTTTGCACGTTGTATATTTTTGAACTCTATGAATAGCATTACTACATATTACAGAACATTCGGAATTAATCACAACACTCCCATCAGTTTTATCAGGAATCACGTTAGAGGACCGTATAAAAATAATTTTCCTTGGTCATTTTAATCCTCAGTTCGTCTCTTGGTAAGGAATTGGAATTTTAGAGATAATATATATATATACATCTTCTTTATCTTTATTCCTTTCAGAGCTTTAAATTCTTCTCTTTCACTAATCCTTCATATCTTCTCTAGCACTCTGCATGTTGTTTTAACGTTTATCTCCATTGTCGTTTAGTGTGTGTGTGTATATATATATATTCATACAGTATAGATCAGATTTTACTGTTTTTGACAACAATTGGAAAACACAAACTGCACTATGCCTTCAGAGATTTTGAAAATGATATACTCAGGCATACTGAGTTTAGCAATTGTGAAGATGAACAAATAAAATCCTAACATTGTTTATAATAAGTCACAAATTGTTCTATGTTTTCAGAGATGCTGAAAATGGTATACTCAGGCATACTGAGTTTATTAATTATGACTATTAGCAAAGAAAATCCTAACATTGTTTAGAATACTTTTGAAATGTGCATAATAACAGTTCGTTTAGAATAGTTTAAAAAGCTTCGTATGACATAAAACAAGAAACAAAGAGAAATACGATTAATAGGTTTTTGTTTAAGTAAGTTTCGTCTACCAGTCGTAATTTGAAGACAACGTTTCAAACTCAATAATAGCGCACTTTGTGTCTCAAAGCAAAAACATGTGAAAAGTGCCTGTTATACAATATTAACTATATACTGACGTTATACTTAGAGTCGAATTGACTAAGGAGCCATAACAAATTAGTAGACGACATACATATAATCAATAAGTGTCTGACCTTCAAAGAAAACTTCTCTCTTCAACATCAAAACCACTAAGTGGGGATCATTCACATAGTTTAGCGTCTTATTCTAAGACACACTAAGAAAGTTTGTGACAACTACTAAAAATAATTTACCTAAATTAACAACAAAGAATTGCTGATATTACCAGGTTAAAATATTGCATACTTTATTAAAACATGGTAGAAAAACAGTTATTTAACCTTTCCAACCGTTCCTCAATGAAATACCTTGTTTACGTGAGAAAAGCAGTTACTTCTGACAAGTTCAACCATATATGGATGACACTATATGAAATTATGTAAATACGAACGTCTATTCTTTTTCTGTGACACTGACTTTTGTACTATCGATTAATAAGAACACAACAATACAAATCCCATAACAAAACGAAACGTCTGAATCTTTCTTGATTATTTCGTCAATGTCATAATCTGGCTTTACGTTCTAGAATATAAATATGTTTTTGAATCTTTTAAGGATATATTTCTAGGATCATTTTTATGAAGTTGCTCCACATTTACGTAATGTCATTTAAGCCTACATATTTTCATTTCGATGCGTTTGTATCCATGAGAATGATACTTAGTTACCCACAAACATCTAGCTTCTAAAATACATAAACTATAAAAACAGTTATGAAAAGAAATCCTAACTAGGCCTACGATGATATTAAAGTACGTCTCATTCACATATCATTATATAATAACTACTTCCCTATATAATTATTTCTCTTGAGTAGACTTCCCACTAAAAACGAAGAGCGAGTGCACTTGATAGATCAGATTGTTGTAAGATAAGAGCAGGTCATACAATCGCAAGAGATGGTATCTCTGATTCGTTATAACTCACTAAACAGAAAACATGATAACGTATGATATACAGATGTTAACTTTTTATAAAACACATTTCTCACTGTTTTTGTAATGTAACACGACGGAATGGTTAACTTATAAGAACTGTCACTTATATTTTTTATGGTAAAATCGTGTTTTAAGCTGTTTACAGAATAATTTGTGTTTTCTTGTTACTGTAGTCAGTAGCGTGAATTCAATACATATCTATTATTTATAATTAATATTACTAAGTTATTACAGAACAGTCGATTTCGTTTCAAATATAGTTCTGTAACTAGCATTTATAAGTGTATTTGTTCCATCCATCTAACGGTTCGCTGTTAATACGTTAAACGATTGTTTCATCTGTTTTGAATGTGTATTGAAAACGAGTCATTGCTTCTAATCTATGGTAATTTTTGTACCTTACAGAACAGTATGTTAACTTCAAATTTAAGTCAATTTTTATTATTATTATACTTATGTAGATGTATTACCTGTCAGAGTCCGGAGAAGGAGGAAAGCCTGAATCGGGAGATGTTAGAGATGCATAGCTAAACCTTCCATTTTCAAGAGGTGTAGTAGGTAGTGACATATAACCTTCGTAATGGGCATCTGTTAAGTCAGTCGAAGGAGGCGGAGAGAGGGATACAGGAGCAGTCCGGTCTTTGTGTCGGAAGGCCGGTCGGTGCCGATAGTTACCTGGTTGTCGTCTCATGTTTGGACGGGATTTACGGCCCATTAATCCGGCAGTGCACTGACTGAACATGTGCAAATGATATAGGCTTTGATTTATGTAAACTGACGTAACAATTATGAAAGACTGCTTAAACTTACAGAATATCGAATCAAGTCTTGTCACTGCATCTATTCAATCTTACTCATTAAATTATTACGTACAAGGCACATCCTTGCCATAATAATCGCTTTTTTTATAGCAAAAAAAAACAACAACAAACAAATCAATTCTGTATCTTAGTAACGTGCATTTGAGACATACTTTATGTTACTTCTTATGTTTGCTGAAAAACAAACTGCTACAAACAGTAACAAATGTCAAGCTACAGCCGTAAAACACATCACAACTTCGACTTCTGGCGTTATAGTGGATATAATACTGTAGTGGAAAGAAGACAACAATTGATGAATTGTTCAGGTTTCCAGGTGCAGAATATAAAGCTTGTCATTCAGAGTGCGAGTACTGCAACGTTTTTGTTCATCTCACTCTTGGTAGGCACTTGTTACGGACAGCTGAGCTACTAGCTACAGCTGGTTGTAGTAACCTTTATACGGTATCCCAACGAATTTTCCATCAATGGAAATAGCCTGTTTCAATATGCCCTGCTTTACAGATTATGATGTGATGAATCCGTGTAAGAAGAAGATCAGGATGGAATTCAAGTGGGTATTCAATTTAAGCCAAACTCCCAAATCCATGTGAAGAACTCTTGCCAAGAGCGTAGGCGGGACTGAACCGCACGACAGCAGGAGACGACGGAATCGGGAAGCTGTGCACTCTAGCGGTCTGCTACAGGGTGTACACAGCTGCTACAAATTTTAAAAAGTCCGTTCGCGGCGAGTGCAGCACGCGTCGAATCGAAAATAATCTTACGTTAGAATGTTTCATCAACCTCTTTGGGTAAGATCTATGGAATCACACAGTCTCACGCTCAACGATAAATACTTCACCTACCCTTAAGGAGTTTTGAGGAAGCTAGCCCAAGAAAGGAAATCTCAATAAAGGCTAGCAGGGAAATCGATGAATGACGTCAGAGGAATTCTTTTGTTGTAGGAATCAATTGAACAAAGGTTATGTTGTGAGCTATGGCAGTTGAGTCCTATCACAGGCTCATTACTTTGCCTTATCACAACACAGTTTTTGTACTTATAGACTGGTTTTGTGCTTTAACTATACAGTATAGACAGAAGGGGTGGCTTCGAGATAAATAAAATGTAATTTTCTTCAATGAAAAACTGAAAAAGGGCTAAAAATTGATTTACGAAATTGTATTTTAATGCAAAATGCAAAACAAAAAATGGGATATTTTAGTAATACTACTTAGAATATTTTTAAACATCACAGCTTATTTTACAATTATACTATAGAGATATGGCTCCAGTGAAGTATATAACATACGTTTCATGAATGTCACTAGTATTTTACGTAAAATACAAAGATGTTTTAATTGATTCTTGTGATGATAAAAAAAAACTAATGAATGCATTTACAATATTTCTTTGTAGCACAGCTAAGATGTCATTAAAACCCGTCTTGTGTTAAAACTGTAATAAGTCTCATTGACTGAATATACTGTTTGGCTTGCTTGTTTATTCTTTTTTGGTAAGATGCTTTCCAATGTTCTATCAAACAAACTTTTAACTATTAAAATATTTAAACATATTATTCTACCAAAATCCGAGCTCAAAAACCTATGAATCCTTCCGTGGTCAGCGGCAAATTTATGGACTTACAATCCCCCGGTGGGACAGTGGTAAGTCTATGGATTTAAAACGCTAAAATACGAGGTTAATTTCCCAGAAGTGGACAGAGTATAGATAGTGTGTGTAGCTTTGCACTAAGAAAACAACAACGTCAAACTTTTGAAGATTTCAATCCTTCAACACCTTTAAAGAATGACGATAGAATCATATGACAAAGCACATATTAATGTTCAAACCTAGCCCTACCTACGATACGATTTTATTATTACTTTACTATTGCACTGTTTATCTGCATTTATAAAATCATGTGATAAAACACGTATTAATATGCACCTTTAGCACTATCCACGATACGTTTCTATCATTACTTTACTGTTGCACTGTTTACCTTGCATTTACTTACAGAATTTTCAACAGCGCGAAGTTCTTCGTTTATATACGTTAATGTCATATTTACCCTAACAAGTTTCCACCTTTTTTACCTTTCTCTGATTTTACAAGGCTTGCGTCTATGAATCTTGTTCCGATATCTTGAAAATGTAAAATTACTATAACATATATAAGTAAATTACCATAGTAGCTAATCTAAAGTTTCAGTTTACCACTGCTCTTAACGATCAATCACTTCCGCATCTGAAAGATTTGCATAAGTACTGAAATACATTCTTTTTTATACTAGACGAAAAACAGTAATTCCAATAACAGTTCAATGTCTCAGTTTCATAATTACTTTATAACAAACATCAGATCATTTGTGAGAAGCTCTAGGTTCAGAGGTATAAACGTCTCTAATTTAGATCTGGTAATCAGAAAAAGAGGTATCTGTTAACCAAAAAGCGGGATTAATTAATAACGCACTCACAGCTGTAAATGCTAAGGACATTCAGAGGTATATCTCAGGCCCGAACCTTGCACCTTCCGATCTGCAATTTGGCAGGCTTATTACAAGGTCTCGTTCAACCATAAAAGAAAACTCACATCAGAGTTAGTATATATGTATATACCTCTGTGACCTCATTGCTAAAACTTATATTTTCTAAAATTATCATTCATACAAATTACCTAGTGTATTTCAAACTTCTCATTATATTGCGTATGACTGATTAATCACGAAATAAAAATCATGTAACAAATAAAATTAAAAATTATTATAGATCTTATTCAAAGAGCCGCTGCAGTTAAAGGATAATTTAGGCGATAATAATGTTATCAACGACAGTTAATTTTAGGCGACGAATATTATCAACGATAATTAATTTTAGGCGACGATAATTTTATCAAATATAATTAATTTTAGGCGACGATAATTAATTTAGTACTTAATTTTCAATACTAATTCTAAAGAAAATGTAGAATTTCAACATATTGAGCAATAATTTTATATTTTTGGGTTTCTTTTTTTGCTTTCTTTACAACATTATGTCCAGATCTTATTCGCTTGTTCGTGGAAATGATGATTTCCATTAACATCAAGTTGTTTTCCGGTGGAACTGCGGTAAGTTTGCGGACTTATAACGTTAAAATACTGGGTTCAATTCCATGTGGTGAATACATGAGATAACCCAGTGTGGCTTTTCTCTAAAATAAACAAACAAATAACAAGTTAAAAAGTAGCAGGATTTTGAGAAAATCAAAACAAAAAAACTTGCTGTCGCATTTCAAACTTAAAAAAATAATTTTGACAACTATACTTTCTGAACTTATTAATAAATAATATTTTTAAAAAACTTTAAACATTGCATTTACATGAACAAGTAGGCAATCCTGGCTAGTATCTCTTCATATTGACAAAACTCTTTGGTTCATCTAGATTACGTAGTGAATTTCATAAGTTTTTAACGTTATTAAAATCGAATTTTATACTCATTGTATATATACATGTATGCATACGCTATAACACAGATTGATACATCTACAAATAAAAAATCTCAGCTGACGACGCCTTGTATTCCCTGGTGTTGTCACAGTCGACAGCCTCGAGTCTTTAAATGAAAGATCTTCAGCAGCAGAATGACAGGCGGGGAGCAGAATAAAAGCTCCGAAGTGGACGCCACTTTGTCTATTCTCTTATAATAACAAAGATTAGTTAGTTTGTCTGATCATAGTTAAGATTTTTTTTCTCTAAACATAAGTATGTTACCGTTTTAACCTTGTAATAGTTTGTTTCACTGCAAGTTTGTATGTTACGAAAACTAAGTCAATAGAACGAGTTTAACGATCTTCGCTCAAACTGAAATGACAAAATATTTCAGTCTAATTGGAAATTAATGAATAAAATTCACGCTTGAAAAAAGTTGTTGAAACACACTGATATAGGCATACTTATTTTGAATTTCAACTAGGCAGAATGCAAGATTATTTTTACACATTGCCCTAAGAAGGGTCCGGAAATAAAACTATAGAGAGGACCCCTAATGATCACTGACCTAACACGGTGAAGCATTAGTCATGAAAAGTATGTTCTAAAGTGTTAAGATGTAGACTGGTTAGGCCATTTCAAGATACTGATAACGTTACTTTAGAGATCAGTTAATAATCGTATGTAAAGGAAACAATCTTGCTGAAAAAAAACAAAAACAACTGGTTTACTTAACCAAATAAACTTCAACATGGTTCCTAGAGAGTTTTTTTTTTACCTAAGATTGTTTGATATCCAAAATAATTAAAACATTCAACTATCTCACAGGCAGGTTCCAAGTCCAATGTGCAAAATTCATTCCACGCCATAATCTTTCAAGTTGGCATAACACAATCACTGCTTAAATGCTAACTTTCCTGCTTGGTGATCCATATTTTGGTACTACTTCAAAACTGGGTACAGCATCTATTACCATTCCCCAAAACGTACAATGTTGTTTACAAGTTATTGCACCAAAGATTTTAGGGTGATATATGTTACACTTATTAGAGCTCTTTCAAAGCTCCCTATAATTATGGAGAATATACGGCATAGATATTTCATACGAATCCTATTCAGATGACACCACATGCCATATTTGGTGTAGTAAGATCACTGAATGATATTTCATACGGATCCTATTCAGGTGACACCACATGCGATATTTGGTGTAGTAAGATCACTGAATGATATTTCATACGGATCCTATTCATTAGGGCCTATTTTAAGAGTATATTTTCCTCAGTTTCAATACTTTGTAAACTTTTCCATCATATATTCAAGAAATTCACAATGATTATACAATTTGCACATACTCCCCCATTAGTAACCCACCTAACTGTGTGTCTCTGTGTACTTGTACTCACTATGTTCCCTTGGAGAACATGTTTGTTGGATTGTATCACATGTTTCACAGATTTCCAGGTGTATTTAGCAGGGTAGTATGAGCAGTAATACTTCGCAGAAAATGTTAAGGAGACTTACATGCACTAAGCGTTATGAAAATATACATTTATTCAAACAGCACGTCTGTAGTATGCAAGCACATTAGATATACTCTACTCTTTTATTCAACTATTCTCTACATTTCTGTTTAACTATTAAATTCACCGAAATATTTTCAAAATTTTCATGCATATAGTTTTAATGCAAAACATTGATCAAGGAGGTGGCTAAGTTCCTTTCCCCCTTGTTACATATTATTCTGGGTCATTCACCAATGGTGTCATATATGCTTTCTCGTGGGAACGATTGCTGTAAAGTAGAATATATTATGTAAAAGCGGGCAGCGATCCTTTCCACTGGAAGGTCAGATGATACCTTGAAGTATATATTATCTCTTTTTTATGGTAATGTCCAGTGACGTTGGGTAATCAGAGCGCCAGAGTATAATACACATACATGCGCGCGCGCACCTATAAAACAAACTTTCATAAGTAACACAAAAAAATGTGTGCAACTATTTGAAAGCAGAACCTTGGAAAAAGTATTTACGGAGTTTTCTCGACGTAATCGTGTACATGGTTAATCTCAGACTATAGTCTTTAAATTTAGAGCTAGTTTTTCAGGGTAGTAGAATCAAGTAGATTAGTCCTAAGCAAAAACTGCCCCTACTTCATACATGCACCACTATAAAGCTGTAATTGGTATTTTCTTAATCTACTTGGTATCAGCATGTTCTTTTATGTTCCTGTTAAGATGAACCGTACTGTCTTCTTTTACTGTTTTAACTTTGGCCAGTTATAATATACATTATATATACATACAGTGTATATAAACATACATATACGTGCGGCCGCGCGTTTATAGGAACTATTACGTCAAACAAATTTGACTGAAATTTTCCTTTGTGCATTCTTTCCTAACTATGGTGTCTCATCATGTATTGTATCTTCATCTTGTTTACATGTTGTATATTTTACTTGATGTAAGTCGTTTTTCATATTGTCTATAGAAACCGTGTTATTATCTTTCAGGCCCATTATATTAGATAAACTCATGTCTAACTTTATTTATATTTAATTCAAAATGTTGAGCCTGTTCGTAACAAATAAATATCGTATATCCACATAAGCCACGTTGGAAACAAATATGATATGTATATGTTTGTTTGTTTTACGATTTACGCGCAAAGATAA